TGAGTGCCCAAGCAACTGCACTAGGAGGATTTGATGAGTGCTACTGACAACGCCACTCTTGTGGCGGAGTTTTGGGCTGACACTGTGTAGGTTTGTTGTCGACACGAAAAGCAGAAGAAGAAGAAGGTAATTTGTTAAAATTACGATTAGGCTTTCTAGCTAAATGAATATTTTCACCTTCACCGTTCAGCTATCGTGGCTTCAAATTATAATTCGATTGACAGTGGCAATCATAGCTATATTTGCTACAGAACCGATGAAAAGTCGAGAAAAAGAGTGAAGAACTGAAGATTACGTCTACGTCCCGAGATTTCAAGTTGCGACTGCGACATCTTCATGATCGTCATCGCTCCTTTGGGGAGAGACGGCCAATAGTGGGCTACCATTGGGTGACGATATAATATAGAAATGATAACGACGTATACGAGGTAGCTCGTTTAGGAACATACAACATACGTGTGATGAATTGTCCGACTGACTAAAAAAAACCCCAAATTTCACCTATAAACTGTCTCTATTCACTCAACTGGAGTCTTATCTCTCGATATAATTAAATTATGTTCCATAGCATAGCTACATCAACAGTAAAACAAAACCTGTAGACTCCAAAGTATTACAATATCCTCAAGACAATCTGCCTATCCTTAATACAGTCTCAAAGGCGCGGGAGCGATTTCAATTTGTCCGCAATTTGGTCGGAGGGAAATTATTGAGCGGACGCCGCCCGCCGTAATGGGTTTGCACTTTGTTTTAGCGATTACACGGTTATTGTAAACAACACTATTTTTTGCCTTTACTCATAGAAGGTCATTTTGATAGGGTTAATTTGATTTACCAATAAACATGATGTTTAAGAAAGTTTACAAGTCTTGCGTCTGCATAATCACTGATATACTATGGCCTATATTGTCAAAGTATCATAGATTAAATCCAGCCACTGCAAGCTATCTTCATGAGGTCGTCGGTCTATCGAGCAGGGCGTCCTACACTATGTATATTTGCAGAGATGTCTTGGCCCGCTGACTACACCTAAGTGAGCAATGCAATATTACACCTGTGACCAAAATAAATAAAATAAAACAAATTACATACTGATATTCTTTAAAAAATACATAAAAGGGTGGATACTCAGGCTGATTTTTAAAAGATATAAAAACCAAAGGTATTCCAAAACCCATCGCTACAGTTATCTAAGTCCGCTGATATTGCACTAATTTCGCTGGCGTCAGTTATTATCGTATACTAATAAATTCTCTAATTACCTTATCAATAAGCTTATCAGACCAAACAAGAGCTACTGGACACTTATCTCGTTTAGCTTAATTAAAAATATTATAGCAGAAACTAATAATAACAAAAATGAGTTTAATTTTATCACAAACAAAACGACTTACAGTTTGCATATAAAAATATGAGTTACAACGAAAATGGTATGTAGATATTTGTTAGATGATGACCTGACCACTCTACATTAGCTTTTACTATGATTCTACTCCGTATAACTACCATTTTCGAATTTCCTAATAAAGTTTAAACTATTGTTGTGTAGTACGCAGAACTGACGGCCGATGTGGCAGCAAGGTTCTGGAGTAGAGGCCGCGTACTGGAAAACTCAACGTGGGATGTCCAACCATAAGGTGGAACGACGACATCGTAAAGGTAGCAGGAAGACGCTGGACGCAGGCCGCTACCAATCAATCAACATGGAAATCATTGGGGGAGGCCTATGTTCAGCAGTGGACGTCCTATGGCTGAAATGATAATGATGAATTTGTGATAGATGCTAATGTTGGAGGCATAAAGTAAGTATTAGAAGAATAAGAATATAGGAAATAAACTTTTAAAAAAATATGCCGTATTACTCATACAAAACATTATTTTTGATTCCAATTAAACCCAACACCTTTTCGGAATTTTAATTTGGGGATGTCAATCAACGGTTTTTTCTAAATTGTCAGTTATCTAAAAGTTAATGGTAGTTTTTGTTCTTCAGATAATTAATCATATTGATTGTGGAATTGCTTTTCGAAGGAATTTGGGATAAATATACAATGTATTGTTTTTTCTTGAAATAATAATCCAAAGTTTGAACTGCGAAATTTAAATTAAGTTAATGAACAACGAAATGGTTTCAATTTAATTAAACAGAATGTTATTTCAATTCCTTTATGATAAAATGGATAACATTATTTAATACAAAGGCTTTGAAATGTGTAGTAGGTACACGTAGTATTTAGAGATAGGTATTTCAACTAATACTCTTTTAATTTACTTTGTGTAGGAATTTTGTGACTTTATTTGTATGTAGTAAATTGAAATTTGTCTGTATACAAATCTATATTAAGTAAAAGTAATTCTGAAATTATATCCTCAGCAGTATTAGCTATTAAAAAAACTATTTTTTGCATTGAATGTATTAGGCTGGGTTGCACCATCTTAATTTGACTGTAACAAACGTCAAAAATTTGTCAAACTCCATACAAAAAACGCCGGTTATCATTACAGTTAAGGTCAAAATTAGGCGGTGCAACCCAGCCTCAATCTTTCTATTCTAATATTTCTAATTATCCTGAAGCTTAACATTGGTTTAAATAAGACGTAGACCTTTTTAAAAGCTTAATTTTAAAATGACTTTATAAGTAATAATAATAATAATAAAATAATAAAAACGTTTATTTGAACCAAAAGTTACATTATGCATGTATTACTATGCAAAAGTTACAAAAAGTGGCATGATAATCGGGGGTCCCATGACTACTAAACTAGGTTACAACCTGTATCTTAGTAGCCAGTGACTTTTATTTAATACAAAGGCTTTGAAATGTGTAGTAGGTACACGTAGTATTTAGAGATAGGTATTTCAACTAATACTCTTTTAATTTACTTTGTGTAGGAATTTTGTGATTTTATTTGTATGTAGTAAATTGAAATTTGTCTGTATACAAATCTATATTAAGTAAAAGTAATTCTGAAATTATATCCTCAGCAGTATTAGCTATTAAAAAAACTATTTTTTGCATTGAATGTATTAGGCTGGGTTGCACCATCTTAATTTGACTGTAACAAACGTCAAAAATTTGTCAAACTCCATACAAAAAACGCCGGTTATCATTACAGTTAAGGTCAAAATTAGGTGGTGCAACCCAGCCTTAATCTTTCTATTCTAATATTTCTAATTATCCTGAAGCTTAACATTGGTTTAAATAAGACGTAGACCTTTTTAAAAGCTTAATTTTAAAATGACTTTATAAGTAATAATAATAAAATAATAAAAACGTTTATTTGAACCAAAAGTTACATTATGCATGTATTACTATGCAAAAGTTACAAAAAGTGGCATGATAATCGGGGGTCCCATGACTACTAAACTAGGTTACAACCTGTATCTTAGTAGCCAGTGACTTTATGTAGAAGATTGTTAGGTATTCTGATTCATCTAACCAAAGATCTTTATTGGACATAGGCCTGTTTATATGTTTTTATTTTTGCATAATAATATTAGTTTCTCTACGTAATTTCTAGTATGTTATTATAGATAATAAAACCACCCAGGGTCGAAGAATTCCTCAAAGCCCCAAGAACCATTTCTGGGAACACCTCCACGGTGGGCCGAGTGACCTTAACAAATATTGACTTAACACAATCCAGGGGAGCTAGGGTTGCCACATATAGGGCTCTGTCTAGGCGGAAAATGAAAAAAAAGTATTAATATATTTGAATCTGTGGGTTTCACATTATAAACAAGTACTTATCAAATACAAAAGTAACAGAAAATATGATTTTAAAGAATTCTTAAGCTTAGGCTTTTCTTAGGCATAAAGGCCAACTCCCTTATCACATAATTTTGTCATTGTTCTTGTATAAGTATTTTATTTAATAATGTTGTTAAGGATATCTCACAGTCAGTTCTACTCCAATACATATTTAAATAATTTACATTTTTAATAATCTTTTTCCTATAAGTTTGAGGTTGTCAGTCATAATAAAGTTTGTTAGCAATGCAAATTAAAAACCAAAAATAAACTTAGTTATACGCTGCTACATTGCGAATGTACATCATTTATGCGAATTTGTGTCCAATACCTAACAATATAGAACAGACAGGTCAAAAATAGATTATTAAGACCATTGTGAATTCTAAAGTTGTCTAGGTGAGGTGGCAACCCTACTGCCCCCATGTATGGACAAACATTTTGTGTGTATGGCCGTGTATGAGTGAAAGTTACACGACAGAACGCTACCCGTTTTTGTAATTAACGATTGTTATGCTCAATTTAATTAGTGATGAATGTAAGGAATGCCAGCGATTTAATTGTCTACGGTGGGTTTAATTTAAACTTGTATTTTCTCGTTCATTTATATTATTAAAGGATGCGTATAGGCAACAGCACATGAGAGTATACAGTTTTGTTGCGAAATAGCATCTATTTCAACTACATAAGATATCACTGTTTTACAGCGAAGGTCGTTCTCTTATAATGGAGATTTAAATAAAGTAGACGAAATGGGGGTGACATATGAAAAGGCTCTTAAAGGTACCTACCGGGAAGGCGCTGGATGCATGCCGCCACCAACCGGCCATTGTTATCGATTTTTCGCGATAAACCCATACAATTATCGTCTAAAACCATCATAGAGGCGATGCGGAAATAACGAAATCTGATTAGTAATTCCAAACATATCTCATCTCCTTTCCGCTTTGGAAACCAGGTCTAATCTGATGATGATGCCGTTACGACCTCAACGGGAAGAGTGACAGGGACTATTCCCACCTCTCGTTACCTCCTAACTCTTCCCAAATCTAGTCCCCACCTTTGCAACATATGTGTAGCTGTGTATGCATAGTGTGAGCTTGGCAGTCACTAAAATCAGGGGAGTAGCAGCAAAATTCATCATCATCATTTCAGCCAAAGGGCGTCCACTGATGAACATCGGCCTCCCCCAATGGTTTCCATATTAACCGGTTGGTAGTGGTAGCAATCCCGTCAGTAATAATAAAATTACGGTTGGTAGCGGTCAGCATCCATCGCCTTTTTGCTACCTACTACTCGTCTGTCCACCTTGTGTGAAGTTAGATAAAGATGAATACTTACCATTGAGACGGGGAGTGGATGGGCCCCACCGTTGGGGTAAGGGTAGGGAGCCATCAGGTAGCCCATGTTGAAACTTGCCGCTGGGTGTGGCTCGAATTTACCTGGAGACAGAGAAAATTAATTAGAACATACAACATATTAGAAGCAAAAGGTGTGTACGTCGTCGATAAAACGGTATGTTCTTTCTAAGCTAGTCTAGTTGTTGGGCATGGTACTGCCCATAAGAATTTGATTCGTTGATTCATGTTCAGAATTATGTCAAAATATTATAAACTAGCTTTTGCCCGCGGCTTCACCCGCGCGAAATTTCGTTTGTCACAGATCGTCATAAATTATAGCCTATAGCCCTATATGTTATTCCGGGTTATAAACAACTAGCTGACCCGGCGAACTTTGTTCCGCCCTAATGGCAATAAATAAACAGACTTTTTTTTAAATTTCGAACGGGATAAAAAGTATCCTATGTCCTTCTCCTGGCTCTAAACTACCTCCCTGACAATTTTCAGCTAAATCGGTTCAGCCGTTCTTGAGTTATAAGTGGTGTAACTAACACGACTTTCTTTTATATAAACAATAATACTGTAAAGTTTCGTCAAAATCCGTTCAGTAGTTTTTGCGTGAAAGAGTAACAAACATCCAGACATCCAAACTTTCGCATTTATAATATTAGTAGGATTAGTAGGACTAAGCATGAACATTCATTATTCATATCACGTAAAAAGTTGAAGCAACATTTTGACGGTTGAACCTAAAAGATACTAACTTTAAAAGTTTAAACCAATTTTACTTTGAATCAACGTTAAAAGGTTTAAGATTTTAAATAACAATCTACTTAAAAAAAAGGTAGTTATCAGTCAGTTTTCATAACGATCTATTTCAAAATCTTATTGTTTACTTTTTATTAAATGCAAAATCACGGAGATTATCGGATTACAAAAATCGATCAATCTGTTTACAAATTTTCCAATCGATAATGGTGTCCTTCAGTAAATTTGTCGATTAGATTGCTAATTGTAAAGAAATGGTAATTAATTAAGGCCAAATTAGTTTTGACGGTGCTTTTAAAGTCTGGTTAAGTTTTCAACAGGCTGTCAATTTTAGAGGACGCTAGTTAGATTAAACGCTAACAGAAGTATAATTTACGTATTTAACTTAGCTCGAGAGAAGACTTCGTCTAAAAACATCCACCTGAATTCTTTTAAAAATCTGTAGCAAACAGACGATTCTTTATAAAATAAAGAATAATTTCAATTTCAATAGTAATCATTAGAAAAGTTCTCGAGTGGCGACCACGAGCCGGAAGACGTAGTGTGGGCAGGCCTCCCACTAGGTGGACCGACGATCTGGTGAAGGTCGCGGGAGGTGCCTGGATGCGGGCAGCGCAGGACCGGTCTTTGTGGAAAACCTTGGGGGAGGCCTTTGTCCAGCAGTCCCGAACGAACGAACGAAGTAATAATAATTAATTACAATTGAAATACACAGTGCCACCTGACGGTAAACGATCGCCACCACAATTTGACAGAACCAAAAATAATTAAAGTGCTCGTGACAAAAAGTACAGTCGGAGTAATAAATCGCTCTGATTTCTCGAAGTACTAAAGTACAGTCGGGATAGGAGACGGAGGAGGGGCGCAGACGAGAAAATTATACCGGAGCGAGTCATTTGCCAGCGTAATTGCGCGCGGTAGTCACTGCCACAGTACGAGGGATAACGGCCAGCTCATTTTCATCGAATTGAAGGTGAAGGTTGATAGAATTTAAAGATTTTAGAGTGTTATTAATGGTTGCAAAAAATCAATATCATACAAGTATCTAATTATAAAATACAATATGAAGACCACATTGAGATGTTTATGATAACTCTACATATTTTGAGGTGTGTTATATTTATTGCAGGACTATCACGAAAAAGCCTGAAGATTAAAAAAAAATGTAATTACTAAAAAACTAAAATCGTGGAATTATGTTACAATAAGTACAACATTTTCTTTTTCAACTTGCCGTATAGAGTTATATTAATTTATTAATTTATAGTACCCGAATATGGCCATTACGAGCATCAACTACTGTCGAAAACCGATAAAAGCCTGTGATTGATCTAAATTTTGAAATCAACCAAAGGTTTAAAAAGATTTGAGGGTTATTTCGCATAGCTCAAGTTTATACATAGAGTTGCTGTAAGCTGGCCTTTCTATTTGGCGTGTGCCCGAACTGTCGAATACGTCTATCGAGGGTTGATGAACTTCATTCAACGAAAGGGTAAGATTTACATGCTTTGTGTTTTTCATGGGGAGGCAATACGCTAAGCATGCCAATTTGAAACCCACTACTACCTCTAATGACAGTTAAAAATACCTAAAGGTATATACAAAATTAAACGGATTAAGCTTTTGACCATAATTCTCATCCGAAAACAAACTCATCATCACCAAGGCTGTTAAAAATATGTACTTCTTACTAAACATGTAAATAACTATTATTATAAAATTTTAAATGTTTTTTCCCTTTCACACCTTTGCCCTTTGCGTTTCACACAATCTTTTCCTATACTTTACTTATTTGATACATAATTCATACGGTCTTCTTTTTTTTTGCCAATAGAAACATTCATAGGCTCTATAATAAACCTTAAAATAAAGAACAGAACAGAACGTATTTCAGTATTTCATATCAGAACGAGAACGAATTTTACGCGGGCGAAGTCGCAGGCAAAAGCTAGTCTAGTAGATGTGTTAACAAATCACCGGATCCACAGCTCCTAAAGTAAATAACGTGACATGTGTACGTCTGCCGATAACTTGTGTGCTATTATGTAGACAAGATGGTCGTCTGTTATCTTGGTCGTCAGGTAACTGGATTAGGGCTGGCGATTATGTTTTGAGGGTATTTTGTTATTTCCTATCCTGAGATCGTTCTAGATATAGATGAAAGAAGAATAACAAGATGGTTGTCGTAATCTTAGTCGTCAGGGAACTGGAATAGGGCTGGCGATTATGTTTTGAGGGTATTTTGTTATTTCCTATTCTGGGATCGTTCAAAATTAAAGAAGAATTGCTCGAAGATACTTTCATTGACATGAAAACAAAAAAAAACAATGTCTACACCAAGAATATGCGGTGTGACAATGAAATAGATCTCTGAAAATGAAAAAGAATTCGTAAAACTTGCCCGACATAGTTTCACGAAAATTATAAAATAAATAAATAAAACTAACCTGTACTGTACATAGCGTTATTTTGCTACATGCAACATTAAAAAAATATTTTGACTAACAACCGAGACGTAAAAACATCCATATTTAACGAGAGGTGACAGCCCTAGCTATCCAAACAACACTGACAGCATCGATAAAACCTTAAAATATTCGCGAAGCTCGATAATCTCGATGTTATTGTCACACTCGATGCGTGGGACCGACGATCGATTGGATATTTTGGATTTTAGCATATTTTATTTTAGTGTAATCTGTTAAAAATGACGGTTAGGTTTTCTTAGTTATTTGCATTTTTCATTGTTACCTTAACTTAATATTTAATACCCCATGTACACAAAGTGGCAACGCGCCGACCATATACATAGATCTGTCGCAGAACCGATGAAAAGTGAAGAAAAAGAGTTCTCGAGTGTCCAGGCAAATGTAGTGTAGGATAGGTGCTCTATGAACCAAATATCACAAAAATGATAGCTACGTAGCTATACTCGTATGTATAGCTTACATAGCTGGGCATTAACTCGTTAATCCGTTAATCGTTAATTAACGAAGTTAACATTTCTATTAACGGATTAACTTTTAAGTTAACTTTAAAAAATGTTAACGGACTCGTTAACTTCCGTTAAATTATCCTAAGTCCGTTAATCGTTAATCCAGTACCTACTATTTACCAAAAAGATACAGCAGGCACGCTGAAAAACGCGCTCTGACAAGTACGTTCGGGCTTCCAGAACTTCCAGAACCCAAAACAACAGTTTTTGTAACCAGATCACTAACGACACTCTTGTTAGTATGTGTGGGATAACTCTTGCAACTGAATTTAAGACCAGTTTTCCTCAACCGATTGAGCTGAAATTTGGTATACCTACTTATGTAAGTACAATGATAATGCAATGTTACGGTACCATTGAGCTGGTCTGATGATGGAGTCATAAGGTGGCCATAGAAACTCCTAAATGAAACGGCGCGGCATCGCATCGAATTTGGGTTCGTTGGATTTGTCTTTTCGAGCTCTTTAGTACTAGATGATGTCCAGGGTCCTGATGATGGAGTCAGGAGGTGGCCATATGAATTCCTAAACGAAACGGTGGAAACTTATCGAATTTGGGTTTGCTGGATTTGTCTTTTCGAGCACTTTAGTGCTAAATTGTATTGTAATTGAACCAAGGCTCTGAGATTGAGATACTACTAAAAACCGGCCAAGTGCGTGTCGGACTCACGCACAAAGGGTTCCGTACCATTGATTTATGAAATTAATTTTTTTTTTTTTTAATTTAAGTTATTTGTATGAAAGATTACGCGGTAATAAGCGGTTTACGATTTGCGAGGTATTAAAAAACTACTTACTAGATCTCGTTCAAAACAATTTTCGTTGGTAGTTTTTATAGTAATGTACATTGTACATCATATGTTTTTTTTAGATTTTTCATTTTCTTATTTTAGAAGTTAGAGGGGGGACCAACTTTTTTCCACTTTGGAAGCGTCTGTCACGCAAACTATTCGGTTTAGAAAAAAAATATTTTACAAACCTCGATATCATTTTTGGAGACCTATCCATAGATACCCCACACGAATGTTTGATGAAAAAAAATTTTTTGAGTTTCAGTTCTAAGTATATGGGAGCCCCCAATATTTATTATTATTTTTTATTTTTGCATCAAAATCTTAATGCGGTTCACAGAATACATCTACCTACCAAGTTTCAACAGTATAACTCTTATAGTTTCAGAAAAAAATGGCTGTGACATACGGACGGACAAACGGACAGACAGACATGACGAATCTATAAGGGTTCCGTTTTTTGCCATTTGGCTACAGAACCCTAAAAAGTGTAAAATAAAATTATAATAATTAAAAAAACTTTAAAAACTAGCTTTTATTCTGAAATGC